GTATACAATTTATCCTTTACACAAGAAACATCTAAACGCTCTGATAAATGCTATCAGTCTACGGTATCCAATGTTAAAAGTAAAAGTAATATTATTGGACAGTCGAAACAACTTGACTGCAAATCTCTAACTGTTTTTTGAAGGAAAGTTTGATCAATTTCACCATTACCCAGGATAATTAACATTGCCCGAATTCATTATAAGTGCGTCTTGAAATCAATAAACTTAAACAAATTAGTTAAATGTCAGGTTCAGCTAAAATTTCCGCGTTCAACTGCCTTTAGACCATATGTCCATATGACACTCTGACAAGCTTCTTCAAGTGTTGAGTGCCAATTTAGGTGATGTAGTCACCCTGATTATAGAAAAATTATAGATAATATCTATACTCCGGCCCACGAGAGATCAGTATAGAGGTATTATATACCTCTATACCTCTATTGGTATAGAGATCTATTCGACCAAAACGTGTCCGATTTCGCGCATCTCCCACGTAGCTCGTGACGATTGCGGCACATAGTTTGGGAAATCGGGTTCCGCGCCGTCGCTGCTGGTGATTCTGCATGCGTGTGACGGTACTGATCTCTCGTGGGCCGGAGTATAGTGTACCTAACACTCGTCTTTACAAACCTACGTCTCATGCAAATATTTGATACCGGTTATCAAGAGAAATGAGAATGATTGGTTTGAAACAATTTATAATTTTGTGTTTTACTATTTCTTTTAGCAACTTCATCTGAGTCAGGATTCTGTTTACGAAACTTAAGAAACAGATGAAACTTTAAAACTCGTAGATTCCTTCAAAGTCCCAATCTTACTGAAGAATTTATCCACCTAAGATGAGTAACGACAGAAAGATGATTCATGGTCAACACGTGCTGCCGATTTTTGGTCCAAGTCTTATTTGAGCCGATTAGAAGAAATCACAAAACACATTTTTTCCTTGGTATGTAGAACAATATATTTAGCATATTCACTTAACTTCCTACAAAGCATATGTTTGAACAACTCCATAAAGAAACTACAAAAACAATTATCCGGGACAAGCTAAACATTCTCTCTAATAACGAGATTGAATTTCTTCATTATTATCAAAAACGAACAAGTGGGTTTTTTTCCGAAATATGATAACCACTTGTATAGTCGTCTATGACAATCAGTCTGAACCGGAAACAGGTTAGTAAATCTTGGAGCATGTGTGATGATGCGAAGAAACATTGACGTTAGTTTAGGCCTGGTTAACGGATTTATTTGTACAATATTGAAGACAGACAAAAATCATATGAAACATTGAAGCTTCGGCTTCGTTATGTAGATGAACTAAGGATAAACTCCTGCATGGATTAGCGACAAATTTTACCAACAGTTTAACTTCAAACACTTAAATTTTAAAAAAAACGTGCCTATATATTTTTGGTATTGTATGTATTAGGTACTATAAAAAAATGCAAGTGAGATCTTGTATTGAATTTTCAAGCAAATATAATTCATTAGTCATTTTATTACAAATCGAGTGAAACGAATTTATCATTTGTAGTAATTAATTTATCATGCTCTTGTAAAAATAAGTGTGTATGTATATGTATTTAGTATTTACACAAAATCCCCAGCCCTAGATATTAAACGTACCAACCTAATAACAATATAATATTCCCTCATTAATTTTCAACTAATCATCACTTTTTGATTCGTTTAGTGTGTGAACTATTATTCGACCTTCCTGGGTGAACACTTTTTTTAAAACTATTTTGAATAAAAACGCCTGCTCTCCAAAGTGTTTATTAAATTTTTATTAAAAACTAAAACTAACTATTATGGTACATTGTTATTATTTTATCATAACATTCTTCTTACCTTTATTCTTATATATTTAACAGTAATTTGTTATAACGTCAAGCTTTAATACATTTTTCTATGGTAGGTACATCTTAATTTTCTGTTCTGCTATATTTATGGAGAACCGTGCTGTATCCTATCAGGGGAGGTAATGAGTGTTTCTGTAATTTGAAAAATTACCTAGGTCTTCCTGGCCACCTCGGTAATAAGTTTTTTAATATTTTTGTCGGAGATGGGTATAGGTATATTTATATTCATAACTTCATAAGTATGCAAGTACCTTTAGTACCTACTTGGTCTACTTACAGTACCCAGTGAGCGAGCAAGTACAACACCTTGCATACATTATTTTCAGACATACCTATATTAAACTCAAAAAGATGACCGAACAGCTGCATGGCGTATTCGACTATAATGTTAGTTATGTTGTATAGGTTTACGAAGACCCACAACGTAGATGTATATATGTCCTGTATCGAAACGGCTGAATGGGTTACCTATAGGCAGGTAGACCTACTATAAAATATACTCCGATGATTTACCACAGTCGTTGTCGATATTATATTATATATTAGGTATATGTATACAATATATTATGTAGAAAGGGCTATATTCAGTGAGAGGGAGTTCGATAAGTAAATAACTAATATAATACTTATATAATATTACAACCCTTGTATACGTAGGTACACCGCGCACGAGTATATATTACGCATATGAGTATTAAATGGCACAAATGATGGCTGTTGTACGCCTGTACAATATATTTGTTGGACCACGCATAATGCATGGCAACGTATGTGTAGTGGAGGCAATCGACCAGTTGGCAGCTAGGTTAACCCTGATAAACTCTCCAGTCTCCACTAGAAATAGTAAACTTAACCAAATACTAAATTATGATACTGACTGTATATGTCATATGACAATTGTAAAATGCATATTTTGTTATTATAAATCACAAATGAATGATCAAAATTGTCAAAATATAAATACCTACCTATATAATTACTTCATCGAGATAGATATTGTTGAATACTTAGGTAGGTAGTGTATAGGCAGTGTATGTATTATTAATGTGTATCTCACTATTCTCACCGATACAAATCCGTATGTTTCAAAAATATATTGGTTCGACATTCATCGGGATTTTGGACTACCGACAACATATTACCTACACTATCAATGAAGTAATAAATTAAATAAGTTTTCTATCAATGGAAATTAGATTTTATTTTTAAATAAATATTTAAAAAGTAAGTTTTATTTAATGTTTATAATTCACATGAATACATTAAAATAATTTATGATTAAATTTTCCTATAAATACACTCCTGATACTACTACTAAAAGTATACGTTTTTGAAAAATCGGATTTTTCAAGATTTAAAACGAACGCATTATTTTTATTTTATGACTACAGCATCCGAGCGAATATGATGGGTATTGTAGGTATACTTGTTGTAAATTATATTGGATTTGTTTATTTTGGGTCGTTTTTGTGTTAGTACCTATATTTTGTCCTCGTTAGTTATATAAGGCAAAGGCATACAAATGTATGCTTTAATTTAACACGTAAAAGGTAGGAAGTGCAAGTTAGGTAGCTAGGTAGGTACCTACCGCTCTGCTGCATGGGTGGATAAGCCCATCGGGAAATCGGGATTTTCCCTTTAGGTCTCAATAAATATTGTACTCAGAGGCCCCAATTACAAAAACTAAAACAAAAAAAAAAATTATAGTATAAAAGTAAATTTTTATAATACTGGGTGGCGCCATGGCGGCTGTTCAGTATTAATGCGCATTTGTAATACATTTTTTATACTCCATTATAGGGCCTAGGGACCTCTGTATAAACTCGTCGATACTCGTATAAATACATACCTATTTTGTTGTAAGACTGTAAGTACTATTGTGCTAAAACTAAATGAGGTATAAAATGTAAATATAATCGATGTTCGAATAACAGAAATAAACAACCATAATAATAATTAATTTTTCGATAAGTGATAGTTAAGTAAGACGTATCTATATAGGTACTATCTACGTTTATATACAAATCTTTGTATTGTAATAAATTCGATTTTTCCATTTTTATATGGCTCACTGGAATGAATGAGTTAAATTATAATTCAATGATAAATCATAGAATACAAAAAACGATTCTGAATGAAAGACTGTCAACCTATTACGAAGTATATTTTACGATGTTATTGCTCTTTAATTTATTTTACTATTAGTAACACAGTAGGTTGAATTAATTTTTGCTTTTAAATTTTTTAAATTTTATGGTTCCAATATTTACGAGTAAACTAGTATTAAATTTTCAAGCCTTTTTTATCTGCCATAGCTATAAAAATAGAGGATTTTACAAATTCTTTACTACAAAATAATTTGCAAAAGTTCGTAATTCTAACAAATTTTATCAAAATGTTAACTAATTCTTATAAAATCGTACCTGTGTACTCAACAATTTTGAGTTGCTTTAATAACAACTTACGAGGAACCATACAGAAGATTTTCAAGTTTTTATGAATAAAAAAATGTTATCAATGTTTTTAAAATGCAACTAAAAAATTGGAAATTTCAAATATGTTATAAATAGCTTAAGAGTCAAAATATTTTGAAAAATGTATATTATCCAGAAATTGATAAATTTAACATTTGGTAAGAATTTCAAGTATCTACGATTTTTCATTTTTGAGTACCTAACAACAAAATATCCAAAAAACATTGAGGAGCCATGATAATTAATAACGGAATTGAATATCCAATGTTAAAAATAAAGTTTTTTAAATTATAAATAAACAATTTATGAGGAACCTTGTTATAAGTTTTAAGTTTTATACATTTTTGATTGAATAAAAAATGTTTTATCAAAATTTAAAGCAAACATAAAAAAATATCGAAAATGTCATATGTCTCGAAATAATAACTCAAAAAGCTTCAAAACATTTTGAACATTTTAACATACCTAAGCATAAATAATAATAATAAATTCAAACATTTTGTGACAATGTCAAGTACATATATCTGCAGTAAAGAGTTATTCATTTTTGAGTTAGTCTTAGCAAAAAAACAATATTTATATCAATACTTTCATATTAATATGGTGCCAAGATGGACTGTATCTATCACTATAAAAATTAAATCTATTTACAACCACAAACTAACTGTGTCAACCACTTTATATATTTTATAATGCGCTAACATATACTAATTATAAAATAATAACTGATACAAGTATTTACCCATCTAAGTACTCTATTTACATACTTAAATACTTACGTAAATAGTTTTTGCGTCCTTATCACTTAGGCAACGCTAGGTTATAAAAATGATCATATTTATAGGTACGTACCTCCCTATGTAGCAACACAACATAATTACATAATTATCCTACATTTAATACTTAAGTCATAAATCATAATAAATCAAATACATTTTTGTACATTTATAATTTTTTTTAATGTGATATTTATGAAAACATTAAATAACAAACAATCAGATAAGATTTATACATATTAATAGCTAACTATAAAAGCACCATAACATGTTCTTATTACTAGGTTCGAGTACGGATAAATACTAGAAACTTTAAATGGGAAAGATTCTACATTTTTTCCCTCAGAAATTTTCTGATCAGTTTACACTGCATTTTATTATAAAATTAGTCAACTTTTAACTATAGCTGACCAATAATTTATTTAACAAATCATAATATTATAGATTTAATCTGTGAACTGTATCTACACTAAAAAGCATTCCAAAATCAAATGTCTCTTGTTGATGGGTCCTTTTCCAATGAGCAGCTAAGCGATTTTTCTTACGAAATCGTTTAAAACACATATTGCAAGTAAAATTTGGTTTCAAGTGAATAGCCTTATGTAATTCATAATGATTCTTACGAACAAATTTTTTTTGACATATTTCACATTCATACCTTAAAATAAAAAAATATTGAAAATTAACATGTTTAAAAAAAATACTTTACAACCACACTTCACAAACATTTAATTAATTGTATAGTTTTAATTAGATGAATAAACTTACCGATAAATATTATCATGTTTTTCTGCAATGTGATATCGGAGACTAACGCGGTTGTAAAATGATAAATTACAAGAATCTCGAGGACAACTCACACGTTTGATTTCTTTTTTTTTATTATTCTGCAAAAAAAAGAAATTTAAATATTTAAGTTTAAAAAAACCATATGTACAATTATAGAGCATAAACCCTATTATTTTAAAATACAAATTTGGTTCAACATAGGTATTAACTATGTAACAATATAATGGTTTCAGAAAAATTAAATTATACTTTTATAAACGTATATTATGAGTATAATATAATAATATTTATCAAAGTTTTTGTTAATAATTAAATTATGTATAGTAATACAAATAACAACTTACAACAGTTAAGCATTTTATACAGAGCCTCGAGGTTTTAATTACTCACCACATTTTTCTTACTTTGCACTCAACAGTGTTGTATTATCATTTTACATTTTAGAGATATCATCACTTTCAGAAAAAGTTTCAGGGTTCAAGAACTAATGCATTAAAAAAATTGTTTTTTCAAATGTTTTCAATATATATACGCTTACCAGATATTTTGATTGTTTTTTCTTTAAAAGCTATAAAATAATAAGAGTTAAAAAAAACCTCTCACAGCTACATATAAATATATAATTTTGATAAATATTCAATTAAAAAAATATAAATAGATTTAAGTTTATAATGTTACTAATTTTTAAATTATTAAATTATTTATAACATCTAATATGTCAAAATAAAAAAAAATTGTTCTTCTAAAAAATGCTTAAATAATTTTACTTATAGAGAAATATTTCATACCTTTGGATGTGATTGCATGTGTGCATGTAACATTACATCATTATCAAAACGCAATGGACACTGTCGGCATTTAAATTTTGGTAAACGTTTAGGCCCATGAACTCGAACAATGTGTTTTTGCAAGTAATTAGGAAAATCAAATGATTTTCCACATTCTGAACAAATCACACTTCTACCATATAAATTAAGTATTTTAGTTTTGTAATAACATAGACTACATCAAATTAAAGATAAGATTTAAATTGTGATTTACCTTTCTTTAGCTTCATGTAATCGTTTAATATGCCTATTTAACAATTGGATAGTAGAAAATTCCTTATCACATTCAAAAGTTGGACATTTAAACATACAAAATGGATGCTCTTGTTTTCTATGTGCAAGTAAAGATCTTTGTTTCTTAAACTCTGTTTGACATACATCACAACTGAATCCACTTGTATTCTAAACATATGAATTAAAATGTATTAGTTTTATCAAATATTTTGTACAGTTTTAAATTGTAATAGATTTTACATCTGGTTGATACAACATATTATTAACATATATTATTTAATACATTTTTTTTAATTTTAATAAAACATTGATTATTTACAAGTAGGTAAAATGGTGACAGGCTTATACAATATTGTTAATGTCTCGGGAGACCTATTTGTCAGTATCAAACCTAATGATTGTTTTTCTAATAAAAAGTGATATAATAATTGACTACTCTTTCTAATTATTATAATAATTTGTGAGATCTTTGACTTAATGAGGTTGCAGCAGCTATAAGATGAAAAGACCAAAATAATTTACTATATTGAAACAATTAAGCACACTGAAATCATTTGATAACAATTTGAGTTTATAAACTTTTTCTGTGTTATAACTATTGGCTATTTAATACATTAAATACAACAAAACCAAGCTTTAACTTAAATAAAATTTATCCTGCATTTTACTGTGTTACTATTACATTTTAGATACTTTTCTAGTCTAAATTAATTTTTATAAAGTTTACAAGTTTCCCATTAGATTTAAAATAGAAATGTTTTATTCTATACTCTATTTGGAATGTGATAGTACCCCGGTGGCCGACTTCTGCGCATGGGCGTGGCTTCGTTTTGCAGTGCTAGTCTCACAAGCTTTCTAAGTGAGGGAAGCGTTTGACCGTTGCGGACAAAAACTGGTCGCCGCCGATGTACAATCTCATTCCGAATAGAGTATATGTTAAACATGGTATAAGCATTTAATCTATTTTGTGGTATAAGTCACTATATTTATGTAACCAAATGTACTTAATACTTTCAGATATCAATACGGTTATGTACAGCAATATTGTACTGCATCCAGTTAGTACAGATACCTGATCAGGATGTACTTTCATATGATAATTTAAATATTGCTGAGTAGAAAATCTTTTACTGCACAGTGTACATTCATATTGTGCTTCTTGATGAGTTTTCATATGGAAGTCTAATTTTCCTTTAGTAGCATATTTCTTATTGCAAACATAACACAAATATAAATAGTCCCCTGGAAATTATAAATAAATTAGTAATCATACAATACAAAATCACAGTCTTAAAAGAGATGCATTTTTTACCAATAAAAATGTAAAAGAATTTTAAATTATTATTGCAATAAGTAAAAATTGTAAATAATAAAAGCTGCATAAATTATATGAAAAACAACCAGTATGTTTAGTTAAGTGTATATCTCTTGTCGCTTTCTGGGTAAATTGTCGATCACAGTACGAACATGAATAAGGTTTGATGTTTTCATGGATCAACATATGTAGACGTAAATTACTTTTTTGATAGAATGTTTTATTACAGTATGCTAAAAAAATAAAACAATGTTTGGATTACATTTACAAAAGAAAAGTCTATCACTAATTAAATATAATTTATACATATTGTTACAAATGCAGAACAAAGTACCATATAAACAATGAATAAAATATTTAAAATAAGAACATTACTGATCATGAAAATTATCATACCAGATACTTGGTGTTAATTTATTATATAATTTTTCCTCAGGCATAACAGCCAGGTGCACAACTTAGAAATTGTGTAAGCTAGTTGTTCTTCTATGAATTAGCAAAAACAACCAAAAACAAGACCACACCTGCAAAGCGCACGAGTCGCTAAGTTAAAGGAGCCTACACCACATATAAGGGAATCCGTAGTGCAGCCTAACCAGATGTATCATAGCCACAGAGACCAGAGCAACTTCTTGTCACGCAATACACACGCTATTGTACACACACCATAATTTTTGCTGATAAAAACTATTTATTGATTCATTTTAAAAAATCTACATTTTTATTTTTTTTACATTTTGAACCATTGAAATTACGGCAACAACAATGGACTATTAAGTTTAGTATTTAAAAAACAATAGTATATAATACAGTATGTTATATCACAAGTCACAACAACTATGTTACATCTTTTTTTACTGAGTCCATACCATTTTATCAACAATAAAAAAAAAACAAAAATAAATAAAACTAAATTCTGCCTATAATTAGCATATAATTTGTCTAATTTTTATCTCATTGAACATAGAAATCGATAATTTTAGTAATAGAAGGTTTCAAACATCTACAAACAATATTTTCTGAGTAATAACTAAATAATATGAACTAAATAAAATAAAAAAATTATGTTATACATTTTTAAATTTCCTATAAACTTGTATGGAATCTTATATCAAATTTTAATTTCTCAGCGTTAAGGATTTTGTTGAATTACGTACAAATTTGAAGTTTAAGCACTTACCAATAAAAATTATGACAATGTTCTTACAATATTTTTTAAATGTGATAAAAACAATTTGTGAAAAAATGTATACTATATTTTCAAGTTTTTTTTGTCCAAAACCAAAAATGTTATTTAGAATCAAAAAAAACTAAAAAAATTGAATATCTATAAATAGCATAAGATAAGAGCCAGAATATTTTCAAAATGATTTTATGGCTATAGTAAATGCTTAAAGGCTCTATGGGCTTCTATTTATGAATTTCCTAGACAAAAAGTAAAATTGGTTTAATCAATAACTGAATTTTTAGGATAATTTTGAATAATACTGAGAATTTTCATTTTTGAATTACAGTACCAACAAGAACCATTTGGTTACTTCAAACCACCTCCTAAGTTGCATTTTGTCTACTATAAAACAATTACTAATGCCAACAGTCACACACTTAAAGTCCGTTTGATATCACCTACGTCCGTACACGCTAGAATAGACGATACATTTAATGTCCAACACTCATGTGATCCCTAATATTAATAAATTTATAAAGATAATTAACTCATTAAAAAGTAAAATATATAATTACCACAGGTTAAATGCATGTTTGTGAATTTCGATTTGAATTGATGTGTTTTTAAATGTTCTTCTAACTCTTCAAAGGACCCAAGTTGGTGTTTACATTTTTGGCATGGAAATACATTTTCAACTAGAAATCATTTTATACATTCACATAAATTAATATTTTTTAAAAAATCATGGAATAATTATAATAAAGTATACATGACATAATATACCTTACTTTGCTCAATCTCATTGGGAAAACATGATGAATTTGAACTCATATCTTGTATAATATCAATATCTGGTTCCTCTTCCTTTCTATATAATTTTATATTTGGTGTTTGAGGACCTTTTTCATCCTTAAAAAATGTATTTAGCTGTCAATTTCAAACGCATTAATTGTATACAAAATATTATGTGTCACCATGTTTGTGTGATCCAGATCATAATTAGATTCTTGAAAAACATTCCAAGGTTCTGATGAGGGGCTTCCGTAATCTCCAAAAGATGGAGCAACAAAATCTGTTTGCAGCCTTTGATCATCATCTATTTCAAATCCGTCTTTAGAATTACTATCTTGTATGGGTCTTAATCCAACACTCCATAAGATTGGACTAACTGGGTTTCTAAAACCTAGTACAGAATCTATTTTTTCTTTAATAAGTGGAGTGATATAATCAGTGCCATTCATGTTGAGATCTATATTATTAGGTGTCATTGGTGGCTCTATTACATTGCCAAGAGATGCTAAATCTTCTGCTTTCCATTCGGTACATACATTTTGTAACCATTTCTATAAAATAAGCATATAAAACCAATATTTTATTTTGAAAAACCAAATATATAAAATAATACCTTCAATTCATCAATTGATGATTGGATTCTTTTAAGGAACTGTTCATGCTGTGAGTTGAGATTTATAGCAGAATGCACAAATGTAAAAGAATCTAAAACTCCAACTTCAGTCATCTATAATAATAAAAAAAATAATTTTAAATCATACATAAAAATGGTTTCAGCCATGATCTATATTATAAATTCTATAATAACTAAGACTCATATAGTTATGTACTTAAATAGAATAAATATTATGCATGTATTTATGCACTAATAAATGGCCTAATAAACTATTAAAATTGTTAAAGACCTACTTATGAACCAATATTAGGACAAATAAAAAATTGTTTACTATTAATACTAATAATAAAACAAGCACAAAATTAAAAAGTAATACAATTTGTAGCTACATAATCTAAAGTGACCCACAAAATTATAATCACATGGTTAATATACTCTTAAATGAGAAAAAACCACTATATGAATATATTAAGTATGTAAACGTAAAATATGTATAAGTTTAAGTTTTTTACTATACCAGAAACCAAAATAAAATATTATACAGTACAAAATATGAAGATACTTAAAAGTTTCTTTAACTACTTTTAACTATATAAAAGTGATACAATTCAAAAAAAAATAATTTAAGTTAACTACACTTACGAAGTTTAATAGTTTATTGAACAAATCAAGTAGATCTGAAATCATTTCCACATACATTATGATATTAATATGATCGATCCTCCGCCAATAATTAATGTACAGTAAAATTATAACAGTATAATATTATTGTTATAAATAAACAATATTTATTAGGTAATTATTAACTGTTTGATATTCGATAGTTGCAATTTGAACGTCTTTTATTAGCATATAGCCAAATATTATAAACAAGTTTCCAAACTGTTAAGTCAGATAGATAGAATTGATGAACAAATCTATGCTGATCCATTATTTCATCTGTTATTTGGTAATTGCACAGATGACAGATACATATTTTTTATCCGTGTCTGTGCCTGTACTCTATACTCTGTGGTAATTACTAATTTGTAAATATTATTTTTTAGATTATCTGCACGTTTAAAGATATTCGTGATAATCTGTAATCATGATTTTCTCCCAGAACAAAATATTTTTTTTATTTTATCAGCTCGTTTATTTGAATTAAAATTGATTACATGACTATCAAAACATGTTGGCAACGCTGAACCGGTGCTTATTAGTTATTTTGTAGCAGCAACTTCAAACTTGTTAACATTGTCAGGCATCGGCGTAGAATATAGATTAAATATTGAAGCATTGTGTTTATATATCATTACTATTAAAATTTTTAGTTTTTCGGTTTTCCGTTATAACTTAAAAGTTAATTGTGATTCGTAATTATTAATTACCTTAAAAATGAATTTAACCACTAAATTTTCTCCAAAAAAATTGGGTACACACAGCGGCATATTCCACTGCGATGAAGCTTTCGGTTCATATATGCTACAATTATTATTTCCCAACTTAGAAATAATTCGTACACGAGATGAAAAACTGTTAGCTGAGTGCGACATTGTGATCGACGTCGGTGGTGTGTATGATCACAGTAAACGCCGTTATGACCATCATCAAAGAAGTTTTGATCATTCAATGAGCACACTAGTTCCCAATGCCAAATGGACAACAAAATTGAGTAGTGCAGGTTTGGTATACTTACATTACGGCCATGATGTTTTGAAAACAATTTTAGCATCCGATGTACCAGAAGATAAATTGAATACTATTTATTCTAAAGTATATGAAAGCTTTGTACAAGAAGTAGATGCTATCGATAATGGTGTCCCAATATGTGAAGGTATGCCAAATTATACTATACACTCAGATTTGAGTAGTCGAGTAGGTAACTTTAACAAAAAATGGAACCATGTTGGAAAATTTGACGATATGGAAGCTTTCAAACAGGCAATGCAATTGATTAAATGTGAATTTGAAGAAACTGTACTGTATGCATATCAAACATGGTTACCTGCCAGGTCATTGGTAATGGATGCACTCGACAAACGATACCAAACACACAAGTCTGGGTGTGTCATAGAGTTCAGTAAACCATGTCCTTGGAAAGAACATTATTTTGTATTAGAAGAAGAACTGGGTGATGACCTTTTACCAAAAATTGACTACGTTATTTTTGAAGATAGCTCCAATGAAACATGGAGAATACAATGTATACCCATAACTCCACATTCGTTTACACTTCGAAGACCATTGCCAAAAAGTTGGCGTGGTATTAGAGATGATGAATTAAGTAAGATTACTGGAGTAGAAGATTGTGTTTTTTGTCATGCCAATGGATTCATTGGTGGTAACAAGACTAAAAAAGGAGTACTAGAAATGTGTGAAAAAGCCATGGAATGATCTTTTTTCTTTATAATAAACAATAAATATATTTATTTGTACTGTTTTTTTTTTTCATTTAAATGTGTAGCTAATTTCATGAGATAAATTATGTTTTTCGTATCCTCATGTATGTAATCGGAGAAACAAAGAATTGTTGTAAGCTGATGCTAATTCAAACAAATGCAGTATAAAGTCATATAATAAAATAATTTAATACTTATAATCTCATATTTAAATATAGAAAAAAAATGCATAATATATAACAATATTTGTTATTGATTAATTTAATGAATTAATCATTGTTTAAATATCTAACACTTGTTACACTATGCATCTTTCTTCAATGTTAAGACTGTTTTATCTTGTCTTTTAGGATTATATCGAATAAATTATTACCAATTTACATTGTACTAATAGCTAATCAGATACATATAGCACATTTACTTTATATTTTTATTAATATTTAAGTAAAAGGTAATTGATTTTTAAAGCTACAACATAACCAATAATAAAAAATTTTGAATCTATCAAAATTCATTAAACTCACAAAAGGTTCAAAATATGTGGTTTATTATTCATAGTTAAGTTTAATATAAATTATAATCATTACTAATTTGCTTCATTATCTTCTTGTTCTTTGTAATGTCTATACTCAGGTTTTAACTCCCACATATTTTTATGAGGATGTTTTAGATTATAATTACAAACTTCTTTTAGGATTTCTTTTAAATATACTACTGGCTGCTTAGTTAATGTAACCAAATCTTTAATGTTATAGTACTGATGTTTCTCAAATGCCTTAAACAACATAGCCATGACGGCATCTTTATCATCACGTGCCTTTTTGCCTTCAGACTTCTTCTTTTCATTATATTCAATATTGTGTTTATGATCTGAAATTGGCTTGAAATTTTGCACAACTTTGTCTAACTTTTGAACTTGTCTAGTTGGAATATGTGCTTTCCGAATAGCTTGTTTTTTTAAATCCATATAAACCTGAATAAAATCATCAAGGTATCATAATCACAAAAACATGAAATTAAAGTTATAACACCAATTACCTGATCTCCAATTGGCCGACATTCTAGTTTCTGACTTATTTTTCCAAGAATAGCTAACCTATCTGCTTCTTGAACAACCGCATCAGGATTATAAGACATTCTATGTTCAGATAATGCAACCATTGTTTGGCTAGTAAAGTGTGACACATCTAATTTAAATGATTTAGGTATTGGCTCGTTGTTTTTTTCACCTTCTAAGCATAAAACAGCTTCGGACAGATGAAGAGAAATATCTGGTCGTTTTCCTGGTGTATTTGCAACCTTAATTTTACCTACATCTAAGCTACCAGGGGCATTGTCCCATTTATCTGCAACATATTTGGGTACTTTAACAAGCCACAAAGCGTTTCCTGCTTTTGAAACATCCAAAGATCCACCACTCATCTAAACAATAATAATAAAACAAAAATTATATTGGTTATATATAGAGCAATTCATCGGGTATTTCATATTGCATGCTGTGTATTACCTTAAGTTATAATACTGCTAAAATGTTTTAAGTTAAAAATTACAAAATATATTTTGCAAAAAATATAAATTAGTTTTTGAAAATTGTAATTTGTTTAACTATAGACTACAACTTTACAAACCGAGATCATAGAAAAAATTAAAATTGTAGAAAACACATAACTATTTAGTGCCAAATCCCAAAAGTACTTAAGACTAAATGGTAATGTACTAAAATGTCACAACTCAGCACTCACAGAACGATATTAAATATTAATTATTATAGTAATAAGAATAACTAATAAGTTCTAAGCACGGATTAATCCGTAGTTCTAAGTTAAGTCGATATTTGTTATCAGTGATAACTTATCATTTTTCGTCATTCGATATTTCGACGGAATTGGTGCGACCATAGACCTATAAAAGACCATAGTAGAATATATATAAAACAATAAATTTGTTTCCGGTGGACGGTGGTGAAAACAAATAAGTACCTAATTAATTCCAGCAATAATATCCATATTTATTCTTCAAGCTGCTATAAATCAATAAGGTAATATTACATAGGTTATATACGTAATAAAATACAATATTATAATATTAAATAATATTTTGAATTGGCTGTATGATATTTATTTGATTAATATACTATGATAGTGTGATAACTGAATACTGATAATATTGTTTTGTAAACATTGCCTGCTTTGTAAATGGCGGCCGACTTCAATGATTCGAAGACGACTATCTAATATTGTTGCGTAGGGGCAATGGGGCATAGACCAGCTTATACTAAGGTGGTTACTGGTTAGTATAACTGTATAAGGTCTATGGTTAAAATATGGAGAAGTGTCTGGACCTTATCTTCTAAAGGCTATGGCCTGTGATCGGGAACAACAACGTTCATCAATTCGATTGCTAAATTATAATATCTAGGCATAGACCTATTAACTAAAGTTAACTATGAAATATCATATGTTATATTATTGTTCTGTGGTTATAATATGTACCTATGGATTAGAGAGGACATTTTAATTGAGTTTGCCGCTGCCATTTTATTAAGCGCCTCGAACAGAACTTTATTAAGGTAATATAAAAAAATTTAAATATTTTAGCAGCAAACAAAAATTAAATATCGTACATAAACAAAAAAAGTTGTTGAAATAGTCATATTGTATGTAGCATGTGTCGCACATCTTGACTTACAATGTACAAAATAAAGCACTCACCAAAGTCAGTGTAACAGTATTTGTAATACCTGGAATGCAGTACTTTAAATGTTGTAATGACAGAGTCAAGTCTAGGGGCAAGGCGATAGTAGCTTGTGTATATTATTATTTACTATATTATTATATTATTTACTTCTTATTTATTATTATTCACTATTTTATAAATACAATGGAGCTATAAAAAAAAACATATGATTACATCTGACATCTGAGTATAAGATCCATAGATTTGTCATATTATTGTAATATCTGACATCTATGGAAATTGCCAATTATCGCCATTCATCGGAGACGATTAACAATTGTAATAATTTCAATGAACAAATTTCGAATCAATAGACAGATTAGTTGTTAAGCTGTATATAATATAACAGTTGCTTTCAGAACCGGTTCTTTTCACTAAGATTCCAATCCCTGCACTAAACTGAAATTCGCTTAAACCGAGATACACATATATAGCGTATGTAGCACTATATACAATATAGAACTTGCCAAAAAAAGAAACTGAACACGGATGAAGCCGAGATATTCAGGTAGTATATAAAATAATTAGGGTTAACAGTGTGTAAGGTTTTTATAAGGTGTTCAATGTTTATACGATTATATAAGTCATCCGTCATCGTAAATAGAAAATGTACAAAATCATAAGTTTTTTTTATAAAATCTTTTTGGTTTGTTTTTCAAAATGGACGACATTTTCCAGATTTCAGTACAATTTATTTGAAACTTCTTTTCCTTTTTAAAATTAATTAAAACATGGGTACATGACATTATTATTTTTATTAGTATCATTTTTAAGTTCATTATATAAGTATCTGTTTTCATAGTTTTAACTGCTACTTGCTATCTCAAACCAATAATCTCTGATCATGGGCACCCATAGGTAACATTTTAGGGGGAGGGGTCAAAATAAAAAATTTCGGTAATAAGGTAATATTGTGGTAATATTTATTGAGCTACAAGTTCATAATATTTTTTTTCAGGGGGGGGG